TTTTTTTTTCACTGCTCGCTGCATTCGTCTTACATTGCCGGTCGATAAAACACCTACTAAAATATCAAATATGTCTTATCTTTAGCCTACTTAATGAATTTGGCATTTGCATTGGTGTACCAGTTTATATTCGTGTCAACTTTGGGATTGCTTTGGGATTACACCTTATATAAACATAGCTCACGTCTTATTATTATATAACTGGTTACAGCATACAACTAACGATTGTGATGAGAATATTGTAAAACTTAATCGTTCTTATTTTCTTAGCAAATTAAATTAAAAGATGGAATTTTGCGCGGCTTGGACAGTATGTACAGACGATCGGTCGCTACCGGCAGAAGGGACAACAAATTGAGGAAGGTTGACCTCATCGTCGGTTTTAGTAATCTAAAGGTCTGGTATATTGATATTTCATACAAAACAATATTATTCTTTTATTATTAGGTACTAGACTTACATGTAGAGTTGTACTGATGAACTTATCCAGTATTTTAGGTATTTCTGAACCCAATCTTTTGACATTTTTATTTGTTAATTTCTTCAACGAACTTATTATTATGTACATAAATACCGACAAGTATATAACTTATCGTAATTACTTCTAGCTGACTGTTCCTTAACGGGTCTATATAAATTGGTTGCACATTTCTGCTACGAATGAGTCATGTGTTCGATTTTAAGGGAGTAACAGCGCTTATAAAATAATGTGTCGCATTCGCAATGTCTATGGATTCTGTCATTACGGATCCTCTTGATCCATTAACGGTGCATTTAGGTACCACAAGCACCGGTCACCGTCCTCGTTGCTTGCGACGAAGGGCTCGATGAGCAAAATAACCTATAGACACAGCCCACTGAGTTTCTCGCCGGATCTTCTCAGTGGGTCGTGGTTCCGACCCGGTGGTATATTCTGCGAAGCACTGCTTTTGCTAGGGTCAGTGTTAGCATCCCTCTGCTTTGAGCCTCGTGAGATCACCTACTAGCTAAGGTTACGCTGAAATAGCCTCTCAAGGCTATCAGCTTAGGCAGGGGAAAAAAAGGATTCAGGTAACCGTTTTACACCAGCGTGCTTAGTGCGAGTTATTTAACGTTCTCGATAGCGTAAAAGCTAACCCAAATTTCCAACGTTCCAACTCCATACAAATTCGAGTTAACTTTTTCGCTATCGAGAACGTTAAAAAACTCGCACTAAGCACACAGGTAAGCCCTGAAACACAGTATGGTAAACAAATAATAAATGTTAAAAAACATTTAGTCAATTAAATTAATATTATGAAAATCCTTTCAATATTTATACTAAAGATTAATTTTGTTAGAAACCCACTAAGTAGACCTATTGAGGGTTACAGGAAACCACTGAATGCGGACAGTGCTGGTCCGATCATTATGGCGAACATAGAAAGCCGCGTGTTCGGCAGTTTACATAATTGAGATGTCAGTAGCAATATTAAGGTTTTGTGAATTATTTAAAAAATAAATATTTTAAACTGGCTATAATTTTTATAAGCGTTATAGGTTTACAAAGAGAATTAAATGGAAGCTGTTTCTTTCCATTCCCCTGAATTTGTTTCGTCCTATTTAATAATTCGATTTTCGAATAAGTCTAATCGCTTTTGTGACGCATTTCATTATGAAGACTCAAACTCTACGTACATTTCAGGTCATGTACACATACCAGGCTATTTTATCTTCAGAAGTCAAGACATTAAGTGGAATTATGGTGTTGACGGCGGATGAGCTGACTGCACATCTTGGTATTACTCTGCTGAAAGAACCGGAAACAGTAGACTTGACCTTCGATTTTATGCATCAATTGAAGTATGTAGCTTTCGAGACAATTAGTACTTTTTTTTTGCATTATTTAAACAATTTAGTTAAAATGACTATTAATTTATTAAGCTTTATCCCCCTGATTTCAAACTCAAAAAAATTATTATATCTAGAAACTTCCCTAAAATATTTTCTTACACAATCTTTAGCATCAATTACTTTTTTATTTATAGTTTTAATTAAATTTAGTTTATGATTTTTTTTATATAAATAGTATTAGTTCGATTATAATAAATTCCTGATTATTAATAAAAATAGGGTGAGCACCATTTCATAAGTTAATTATTTTTAAAGCACCTAATTTAAAATTACTATTTCAAATAATATCAACTTTAATCATCACTGTTGTTTAATTACCCTCAATTGTCATAACGTCTGAATCATTTGCTAGTCATTATATATTTTATGAGTAATAAAGATATTCACATTCGTGATATTCAAACCGTACAGAGAGAATTTTACTTCAAATGAACATCAAAACTTTTGTTTCAAACTGCGGTAGAGGTATTTTTTTATAATGATGAAAGTAGTTCGTTTTTATCGTCGCATCAATCTCCAAATGATGTAATATCTTAAACTGAAAACCAAAATCAGTGTCTTTGACAGTTCTAATAACCTACAACTCTAATGTTCGATTAATGATAGATAAAAGTGTCATTAAGACTTAAAAGACTCATTTAAATACTTTATTACAACTTTAAAAAATAAGGAGCTTAGTAAATTTTAGATAAAAGAGTCTCCAGCACATGTAGCGATGGGTCGCGATTCCGATCCGGTAGTAGATTCATTCGCAAAGCAATTGCTCTTGAGTTGTTAGGTCTCCTTCGGAGGCGCTCGGGCAGTTGTTAGCAAATCCCACCCCTCCTGGCTGAGCATTTGCTCGCCCACTTGTCCTGGTGAAACTAGAAAGGCCTTCGGGCCACCAGTAATCTTTCAATTATAAAAAAAAAAAACAAATAGCGCCCATATGCAATAATTACCCTAGCGCCCTCTAGTAAACGCGTGGTCAAAATGGAATATGTACAAATGTACGCCCCACTGAGTTACTCGCCGGATCTTCTCGTGATTCCGATCCAGTGGTTAATTCTTCGAAGCACTGCTCTAGGTAGGGCCAGTATTAGCAAACTCTCTCAGGTTGAGCCCAGTGAGCTCACCTAGTAGTCCTAGTAACCAATACATGGCTCGAATACTCGTAGTACTTTCAATTTCAATTTTTCGGGCACCCAGCGGTCGCGTGCAACGCACACCTTTCACCATAGGCAAAGCCTCCTCTGACTGTGGAACTGATTTTAGAAAAATATCCTTTTTTCGCTAATTCATGCATATAATATGTACTTCGAAACTGTTCGTGCACTGTGTCTTGAACGTCGCATTTGTTACCTACCTTTGTTTCATATTAAGCCCGTAATTTAAATTAACCATCGTGTCTCAACGTTGCTAAAATGAAATCCATAACATTTCAGACCGGAATCGCTGACAATAGAAGGGCCCGCAAACAGAATGATAGCGAATTTCAAACATCTACTCGAACATCACATTATAGCTCTAATGTCTAATACTCTGCTACACAATATAAAGATGTTGAGCACACTGCCGAGATGCGGTAAGCTACTTAAGTACGACCATAATCTTTGGTAAAGCCGTTTGTTCATCGGCTTATAAATACAGCCGCAGACTCAATAACCACGCTTTTGTTATTATGCAACGGCGGGATCCTAAACGTAATTAATTTTTTTAATTTCATTTTATTGTACCGGCAACAGATGGAACTTGCCAACGCTGTAGACCCATCATCGTTTTTTTAATTTTCTCGCTAAAACTTTCATGACAATTGCCGCAAAGCAATCATTGTCCCATTAAAAACGGAATTCGACAGTTATTTCAAATCAATTGAGATTTATTTACAACTCTATTTGAGCAGTAGTAGCACTTATGGCATCTACAGCGTAAATGCCGCCACCCATCTTGAGATATGAGTTCTATGGTCTCAGTATAGTTACAACGGCTGCCCCGCCCTTCAAACCGAAACGCATTACTGTTTCACGGCAGAAATAGGCAGGGTGGTGGTGGCTACCCGTGCGGGCTCAGAAGAGGTCCTACCACCAATAATTACGCAAATTAAAATTTGCGGGTTTGATTTTTATTACACGATGTTATTCCTTCACCATGGAAGTCAATCGTGAAGATTTTTTAAGTACGTATTTCATTAGAAAAATTGGTACCCGCCTGCGGGATTCGAACACCGCTGCAGCCCTAAATACGAATGCACCGGACGTCTTATCCTTTAGGCCACGACGACTTTCATTTGAAATTAGTTACAAATATTTTCTATTGATTGTTCTATGATTTTAGTGCCATCGTTTTTCGGACAAGCAGATCGAAGCAATACCAGTGCGTCAGATTTAGAAAACAACCAGTCTCATGAAAATAATTTGATGGACGTCATATCAAATGAAAATGACACGGGAGAATACGCTAATAAAGAAGAAAAATCGAATGAAAAGCAAAAAACAAAATATAAAAAAAGATCACTCAGTAAAGAAATCGAGAAATATACAACTGAATCTAGTTATGAAGAATCGATAGTGTTGGAGTCCACGGAAGAATTAGGCGCCTGAGAAATCGAGCGTTTAAATATTCACTATACTTACGTGAAATAGTTGCAATAATAAAATAAAGCTTTTTTTTAAAGTTAATTTTTATTTTTAATTCACCTTTACAAAATTTTATCGTTTACCACACTAAGAATATTTCTGTGAGAGATGTTCCCTAAGACAAAAAGAGAGAATATCATTGCTGGAAATTTCTGATGATGTGATTGACATGAAAAAGGATTTTACTAAACTTAGGCCAACCAGACGAGATAATAAACGTAAACAAGCGGACCGTTACTGAGTTACATTGCGATAGCGAGGGATTATTATCTCTGTCCTTATCACTCGTACGCGCAGTTATGGCGTCAGTTGGTCGACAACAGCTGTCGTTGTGTGTTTCGTGGTAGGAAAGCACTGAGTACCGCAGTTGTCAACATTTGGTCCGCCATTTTGTGAACAAGTTCATTCCTGTTTGGATTGCGTTCGAAGTGATACATATTTTTTCGTTCCCGTATTTACTTGGTCTGTTGTTGTTATTATTCCGTTTTTGTTAGTTTTATTTTTGATTTTTGCTGTTATTGTGAGTATTTAGTTGTTGATTTTAATTATGGAATCACAGCCTGGCGGCTCTAAAATGAATTCACCACGCAAAAAGCGTCAAAAGGTAAGTTAATTTATTAATTCATTTGTACTTGAACCACTACCATAATTTTGATTTTTAAAGTTCCGTACCAAAAGATTCTTTTTTATATAATAAGTAATAAGAAAATAGTCTAAAATTTACCATTCCTCACCATTTTTTTTTTATTTACAGCGGACGTATTTTACATCGAATGAAAAAGGAATGGTCGTTAATGTGCACAAATACGTGAAGCAAACTTGGCCTACAGATGAATATCCGTACAAAACACGTTTAATGGAGAAAACAGCGAGCATTTTGGGCATCGGTGTCGCTTCCGTATATAGAATAATAAAAGAATATGCAACTGTGCTGCTGATAAATGGCGAAATTGTGTGGATCATGTTATAAAAGTCGAGGACAATTTTTATAGCAATATTGACAACATGATTGATAATACAATAGATAGTTTTATCATAAACACAGCTGACTCGGACTCTTCCGATGAATCATCTTTGTCTAGTACAGATGACAGCGATTAAAATTCGAACTTTGTAATAATTTATTTAAATAAAAATGTTTTTTACTCCTGAAACTTTGTTTACATGTTTTATCTCGTCTGGTTGGCCTTACTTTATTATATTTATTGATGTGCACGCAATGTATAAGATAATTAAAAGTCAACTGGCCATTACCCGCGACTTCGCCCACGTGGTCAAGGAAAAATAGCAGTGTAGTTTCCCGTAGAAATTAAATTTTAATTTTCGGGTTAAAATGTAGCCCATGTCACACGCCTGACCTAAAACTATCGCTTTAAAATCATATTAATCTCTTGCTTCGTTTTGACATAAAAAAGTAGGTATAAACAATATTATTATTATTATATAAATAGTATTATTATTCGCCAATAGATGTCGGGAAGAGTTGATTATTGAAAACACGAATAAAACAACATTTTCTGAAAATAAATCGTAGCTAGATCGGTTTATCGCCCCCAAAATCCCCTGTATACTAAATTTTATGAAAATCGTTGTAGCCGTTTCCGAGATTCAGATTATATATATATTATTATACAAGAATTGCTCGTTTAAAGGTATAAGATTGTAATAAATTACATACATTACAAATATGCTCTTATCAGTAATATGTAACGGTAACAGTACTCCCTAAGTCCTTAAGTCGCCCAGTCTTTATGTCGTGTCTTATCCTTTTACCATTTAACCATAGAAGTTAGAAGATTCTGTACGATTCATGACATGGTACATAGAAGTTGAACCTACTTTTTGTCGGTTTTATAGATTACAAACTAACTACTACAAATTATTCCTTAATCAACATAACACACGTTCAACTAAGACGATTTTCTACGAAAAAGTGTATAAATATCGAAATGGGAATGCGATTTTCTACATCCAACTTAGTGGAAGTAGTAGAAGTTGAGATGATCTATTTTTGAATTGTTTGAGCACCTATGTAGAAAACTATACAGATACAAATGTCAATTCAATAACTCACGTCACATAAAAGTCAAATAAACAGGACTCAAATGACAGAATATCAAACACCGAAATCACTGATCATTGGGCATACACATGGTATACTTCAGTGTCATTGGCACAAGCAAACAATACATAACTGTTTTGGTTTCTATAACGGTTCAGGAAAAATGAAGGGATTGAAGTCATCTGTCAAGTGTATGATGATTAATTAATTGCACATGCCACAAATGTGGAAAAATAAAGCAAAAAAGCCGCTGGACGTAACTTTTCGGGATCCTCCAAAAAGTCCACTGAAAAAGTCTCAGTAAATGACCAACATTTTACTGACATTATATTTAATCACATATCATCTCATCTCATCATTTTATTTCACTTCATATTATAATTTTTCATATTATATAAAAAAACTAGCTGACAGCTGATAAATAAAAGACCTAAACTTTTGTATAAAATAAACTTAAAACAAACAAAAGAAATCCGTCCGACGGGGGATACATCAAAGGAAAAACAAAATTCTTATTTTTATTTAATTCCGAACATTTTCATTCATTTCTCTACCTTTTTAAACCTTCTCTGGACTTCCACAAATAATTCAAGACCAAAATTAGCCAAATCAGTCCAGTCGCTCTCGAGACTAACGAACAGCACGGCTGTGAAATATCAAAACCCAGTATCTGCATAAAACTAAATTTTACAGGAGAGCCGAAAAACAATTTCATATCTTTGACATCGTGCCGTTTCAATAATATTAGTCGTACCTTCTTGAGATTGATTGCAAAATTTGAGGTACATAACAGGCTTTATAAAAAAGTAGATTTCATGCGTCTATCACAAAAGATGTACGTAGAGGAGCAGTTACTAATAAAAAGATTGTTTTCTTAGATCAAACTTTTTGAGTGTGACAATTTCAAAACCTAGTAAGATCACTTGCTTTGTTTTCATTTAGGTCTGAATTTACTGAGTGGGAACTAAATGCAATTTTATAAACATAGTAAGAAAAAACAGAATAAAACAACATAAATATGGGCAGAAATAAGCAGTTTTAATGAAAAAGAAAAAAAAACACATAATCGGAAACCAAACACTATTTGTTCACAGTAAAAAATCAAAAAATAATCACTCAAAATATTTGAAAACAGTCAAATAAAAATAAATTATTCGGTTAATAATAATTGTCCACTAGAAACTAAATTAACTGGATTATTATTAATCGGTACACTTTGCCAAAACTTCTTCTCCAAAACTTCTGTTCATTGGCATAAGCTAAATAAAGTTGTTACTATGCCTTCCTTTTTACTTTCGTTAATGCCTCTTGGAATATTTTTTAAGGTTGGCATGATCAAGGGATTGTGTTTTTTAATAAGA